TAGAATAAATTAGACGCTGGATTCAGGCTTTGCATTTCCTCGGCTTGCAGGAGGCGTTTGATATGGAATTAGTAGTCCGAAGACGCAGACAAAACCACGTTTCACCCCATGTTGTTTTTGAATTAGTTATCCATTCGAGGCAAGTACAGCACAACTTAAATGTTATGTTGTATACACCGTTAATTATACATTCTTACCGAAGTTTTCCGCTGTCCTTATTTTAAAAACATAAACCATCAGAACAATTTACGAAGTCCTACAGCTAAACATTGGAAACGTTATTTTTAGATGATTACCCTGCTTTCCAAACGTGGAATTTTTTTGACCACGAAATTATACAAATCATTTTATGCCAGCTGCTCAACCATCTATTTTACTAACCAGAACATTAAAATTTATATTTGAATTATCAACTTCCCAACCAATTTAATCTGAAGTAGGTGTAATGCTTTGGAACAAAATGTCTTCCATTGGGTTAATTTTCGAAAATGGTATCCCATTTTATAGTCAACCCAATAGAAGATGTGCGAAAACAGTCATAGTTTAACCATGTCTGGAAGTGAGGTAGCTAGACAAAGCATGCATTAATAGGCATATATTTAGATGCCACCTAAAAACGACTGAAAGTCAGGTGGAAGCGCACACGAACAATAACGACTGGATAAACGAATGAAGCAGACGTCTGTTGGCCCACAGTTTGTCTAACCAAAGAATATCTTATAAGATTAAAGTTGACTGTCTTTTGTACCTTTTACATTTGTGTGACGACGTATGGAGATACCCGCTTCGAAAATGTATGCAATACAATTTATTTTTTCCCAAAGATTTTTAGCTTCTACACGTATATTTATACTCGAGTAATAACCGGCGGCCGGATGTTCTTTTTTGTCGTGAACCATCTTCCTGGTGTCCGAAATTTTAATTTCCGTTACCCCCTTGCACTTTTTCCATTTACAACTTCAATCTCTATTCCTGGATGTTTTCGTTGTCACTTACAAAACTCTATTCAATGCATTTATTTATGCATAGCTAATGGCCAAACCGGTCTTTGGTCGAAAGTCCCCCGAGGCGTCCCCAATACGCCCGGAAAGCGTCACATACTTTCATGGAAAGATTACTAGAGATCAAGCTGAAGCTGTTTTAATGGCCAACAAGGCCATCGAAGGCATGTTCCTGCTGAGGGAGAGCGTCAACCAGAATTACGCCATATCAATATGCCACGATGGTCGAGTGCACCACTATAATATCGAAAAACAGCTGGATGGAACTTATCAGATTCCCACAGGCAAGTCTTATTGTCGGCGCAATTGCTACTTATATATCAATTACGGCTTCTGTATACGCTTTAGCGTGAGTTCTAATTCAACATATTTTACCCCTCTTATGTTTCGCTAATGTTCGATTTAAGCTTCGTATATCTCTGTACTGTATGCTTTTTGCTGTTCTACAGTTGTTTGTTTTGCCTCTGGAAAATAACTGTAGTTTAGGCTGTTTTCCTAGAGGCTTTTTCAGCCGTCATAAATCGTTTTCATTTATAAAGCATCCAGTCAAACGCTATATTTAAAAATATAAAAACGCAGTGATCATCCTACCAATAAATCATTTTGAAGAAATGTTTGACCTCCTCGTAAATAGTCGCTTGAAATACACCAACATGACGGACGCCTTGAGCCGCGTATGAGAATTTAGGAAGCCAATGCTCGATAATAAAAGCAGCCGTTGCTTGAATGGTATTTTTTAGTCAGTAGAGGTCAAGCTGTCGACCAATTTATTTCTAGAAATGCACTAACTATATTTGATGTTTTTTATGCTTGGCCGTTTTAATACTTTTTGAAAAGATGGAAAGTCGATGTTCATGTCACTCAAAAGTCCGAAAGTATTTTTTTGCTATTATTTCATCAAAACTGCAGGTTGGAAATTTCCGGGACCAGTGGAATTAGTCCACAATCACATGAAAAACTTGGATGGTTTCCTGACTTTGGCACGTGTTCCTCTGGAAAGAGCTCCCGGCGAGACTCCGGTCGTACTTCAGGGGGTTCGCAGTGCAGAGCTGGAGGAGAAACTCCGCCTAAAGGCCATGGAGATGGGCTTAAAGGTTGGCTTTTACAACCCCGTTCAAATTTAATCCTTTGAATCAAATACTTTTACCTTCGGTTTTGCATGGCACAGGGTATGTTTAGGAATTGAGGAGTACTTTTTTTTCTTTTTGGTCTTTACGGAAGGAAGAAATGGCACAGGCCAGATCATCCACTAAATCTGTGTCACTTAACTTTCCTCCTGGACACTTTTAGTATTAACATCAGTTTTTTTATTGTTGAAGAGCTCCGAGCTTCCCTGTACCCTTCTCCAAGTCCATCACTGCCTACATTAAATATAACTGTACTGTGCTTAGAAAACATACTGTTACAGATTATTTAAGAATACGTAGATTAGGATTTTCCATAGGTCATCGGAATGTGCATGCGCACACGGAAATATCTGATTAGGGGTTTCTGGAGAGTTAATTACTGAAGTTAAAAAATGCACAACTTATGCAAAACGAATGTTCACAAAGCTTGTACTTTTGCGTACCATGTCCCATGCAATAATCCCACTACAAATATCCCGATCTATAATTTACCACCTTCTGTCCCAGGTATAAAACGGAAACCCATTTTATCATGCACTCCGCCCCAGGGAGTTCAATGCTCGGTCCCAGCCAGTTAATAATAGGCAACTTAGGCCTTCAGTTGTAAGCACCAATGCCGTAAGCTTAGCGCCGTGGGTATTTTCTAAAAAAACCGGTAGTTCGACAGCGAACTGTTGACCGGGTTTCTCGTAGTGCCTGGACCCGAAGGTGTATGGTAAATACGACTATTCTGGATGTTTGGCTTAGTCTATGGCAGTTGAGTAGTGAGCGCAGCCTTCTTTGATGTCGTAGTGTAACTTTATGGGCAACCTAATTACATGATAAACTTCCAGTTCAGTAGCACTCGTGTCTGTCTCTGATTATGCATTCGAGCACGAATC